CACAAGTCGGAAGTGAATGAGAAGTTCAAGACTTGGAAGGCGGAGGTTGAAAATGTTTCGGGCAAGAAGATTAAGGCAATCAAGTCCGACAATGGAGGAGAGTATGAGTTGGAAGCTTACAAAAACATTTGTAAGGAGCATGGCATTGTTTTGGAGAGGACCATTCCCGGTAAACCTCGCCAAAACGAGGTAGCGGAGCGGATGAATAGGACTTTACTTGAGAGGGCAAGGTGTATGAGGTTGTTTGCGGGCCTCCCAAAATGTTTTTGGGCGGATGCCGTTAGTACCGCGGCTTACTTGATAAACCGTGGACCTTCGGTGCCCTTGGATTTCAAGATACCGGAGGAGAAGTGGAGTGGTAAGGAGATGTCCTACACTCACTTGAAGACCTTTGGTTGTGTGGCCTATTTGCAATCCGAGAAGAGAGATAAGCTAGACCCAAAGGCCATCAAATGTTACTTCATCGGGTATGGATGTGAGAAATACGGTTATAGATTGTGGGATCCTAAGAATCGAAAGATTGTTAGGCATTGTGACATCACTTTTGATGAGAGTTCTTTGTATAAGGACAACTTTGGTGGAAAATCCGTGGAAAGAGAATCAATAGGAGATGAGTGGAAATATGTTGAGCTAGAGGGTGAAGTTAAAAGTGGCAAGGAGTTTGAACAAGTAGAAGTTGAGGTGCCAATTCAACAAGCATCTCCTCAACATGGTGCTCATGTCCCGGTGGATTCGGATTCCAGTGATTCTGATTATGATGATCATTTCGAGACGGATGAACGAGTAGTTATGGGTGAGCCCGTTGTGGTTCAAGGAGAGCCTTCTACACCACCAACGGTGAGAAGATCATCAAGACCAATCAAGCCACCTAACCGATATTCTCCATCCTTGCATTATTTGTTGTTGACGTATTCCGGTGAACCGGAATGTTATCAAGAGGCAATGGGCATGGGTGACTCGTTGAAGTGGGAGCAAGCAATGGAAGATGAGATGTCTTCATTAGAGAAAAACAACACTTGGGTGTTGGTTGAATTGCCTAAGGGCAAGAGAGCACTTTTGTGCAAGTGGATATTTCGAAAGAAAGAAGAACCGGATGGTACAATTCGGTACAAGGCAAGACTTGTGGTGAAAGGTTTTTCACAAAAGGAGGGCATTTATTATCATGAGATCTTTGCTCCGATTGTGAAGTTGACCACTATAAGAATCTTGTTGGCTATAGTGGTTTTGGAGAACTTATTTCTTGAGCAAATGGATGTAAAAACCGCGTTTTTACATGGTGATTTGGAGGAGGAAATCTACATGAAGTAACCGGAAGGGTTTCAAGTTCCGGGTCAAGAGAACTTGGTGTGCAAACTCAAACGGAGTCTATATGGGTTGAAACAAGCTCCGAGACAATGGTACAAGAAGTTTGACAATTTCATGCTAGGCAATGGTTTCGTGAGAGCGGAAGGTGATCATTGTTGCTACTTTCAAAGGTATGACAATGGCTATATCTATTTACTTTAGTATGTTGATGATATGTTGATTGCGGGAACTAGTATGCAATTTGTCAATGGCTTGAAAAAGAATTTGTCTAGAAGATTTGAGATGAAAGACTTGGGTGAGGCCAAGCAAATACTTGGCATGAGAATTTCTAGAGATAGCTCAACGGGTGTGTTGAAGTTATCTCAAGAGGAGTATGTCAAGAAGGTGCTAAAAAGATTTAATATGATGGATGCTAAGCCTCGAAGCTCACCTCTTTCAAGTGAGCTCAAGTTGACAAAGGAGGATTGCCCAAAGACAAGGGAAGAGAAGGACAAAATGGCCATTGTTCCTTATGCTTCGGCCGTTGGTAGCATGATGTATGCTATGATTTGCACGAGGCCCAGTATTGCTCACGCAGTGGGAGTTGTGAGTAGGTTCATGTCAAATCCGGGTGAGAGACATTGGGAAGCCGTGAAGTGGCTATTGAGGTATTTGTTGGGTACTTCAAGTATGGCTCTTTGATTTGGAAGAAATGGAGTTGTTTTGGAAGGTTTTGTTGATGCCGATTTTGGTGGATGTTATGATTCAAGCAAAAGCACTTCGGGGTATGTGTACACTATTGGTGGTACGGCCATTAGTTGGATGAGCAAGCTCCAAAAGTGTGTCTCTATGTCTACGACGGAAGCCGAGTATGTGGCTATGTCGGAAGCGGGAAAAGAGATGAAATGGTTGAAAGGTTTTCTTGAAGAAATGGGCATGAAACAAGATGTCTGTGCGTTGTATAGTGATAGCCAAAGTGCGGTTCAATTGGCTAAGAATCCTATGTTTCATTATCGCACTAAACACATCAAGAGACGCTATCACTACACTAGGAGTTTGGTGAAGGATGGCACGATGTGTTTGAGGAAGATTGCCGGTTCAAAGAATCCGGCGGATATGCTCACTAAGGTGGTTTCTAGTGACAAATTGAGGTTGTGTAGGACCTCAATTGGACTCCATCATTAACTTGATGGAGTGTTGCGCTATGGTGAAAAATTGCTTTGATGAATGCGTTGAGTGCTCTTGAGGAAGGAGTGTATATATGGATGTCTATGGTGTATGCATTATTGATCCTATCTCCAAGTGGGAGATTGTTAGGATTAGTGTGGAGATGCATCAATATATGGAGGCATAAGGAAGAATCAAAGAGAAAGCTTGTTGAAGGAAGTTCGACCGAACATACTATGAGGTTCGGTCGAACCTTGAGACAGAAACTTTTGCGTTTTTAGCAAAAGTGGAGGAGTGGTCGAACCACTGCCTGTTCGGCCGAACCACCTTGAGTTCGACCGAACCCTGGGTTGGTTCGGCCGAACCTCTTTGCGACCCTGTTTTGCAGTGCGATTTCAGTCCGTATTACTTGATTAATTGCTAGCCCTTGGATTGTCGTGTTTTACCTAGACTATATATATTCTTTGTTTTGCTTCTTCCCCAAGCATTCACAATCTTTAAACACTAATAGAGGGTTTATGAGAGGTTTTGTGAGGAGCATTGGAATTATATACAATTCATGCTTGTAATCTTGATTCATTCATCATCAATACTACTCCATAGTGCAAGGTGGGTTTTTTCTCCCGGTTCTCGGGTTTTCCCACGGTAACTTTGTCTCCCTTTTATTTGCTTTAATTTCTTCATGGTTGTTCTTAGTTGTTGTGCTTGCATGTTCTTCATTGTTGTGGGTTGATTGCAATTAGTTTAAACCCTTAATTCTTTCAACATGTATTATTACTACTATAATTTGTAGGGTGTCTTATGAAGATGGTGTTATGGAGAGTGGGCCTAAGCGGCTAAGCCTTGCGCGGCCGTTAAAGGGACTCAGATTATGGTATATTTTGTTAAAACTTTGATTAAATGAGACTATATTTTTATTGTTTTGTTACCAAGATTGAATGTTGAGTTGCCTTTGATGTTTATAAAGTAGGATGACCTCTATTTGCTGAGTTGCTGAGCTTTGATACTATTCTGCATACATTTTAATGTTGCTATATTCAACTCTTGTTTTTATGGGTTTCTAGATTTACATTCAACTATTTATTGCTCCTCTGTAGCTTTAAAGAGTCTACTCTTGTTATATTATTACTAAAGATTCTTGCATTTTGCTTTATATAATTAGATTACTGTTTAGAAGTTTGAGTATCATATGAAGATTCAACTCTTATTATGTTACTAGATGATTATTTTTATCTCTTGATGATGGTTACACCTTAATATTGCCTTTTGAAGGTAAGATTTTGTTTTCTGAGTTTGTTTGTGTTTGGGAATGAACTTTCCTAATTAAGATTCTGGGTTTTGTAATTAATTATGAACCGAATTTTTTATCCGAAAAGTTGCTGAAATCACGAAATGGTTTTTGATTTGATCAGAAAAGGAATTGTAAATGAGGATAATCATTTATCATTATTGCCCCTAAAAGGTTAGATCTTTTACCCATGATCTTTGTTTTGGAATTTTCCTCATTTGAATTTATAAGATTAAAATTATAATTATTGTACTTGTGAAATTTGCACGTATAACTATCATATACAATTATTGACCAATAGATTTACTGAGTTATTGATGCATTGTAAATATTATGTAGAGAGTGCTTGATGAATGATGTGCTGTCAGTAGTGTTTTTCTTGCATTTTGTGTTATAAGTACGTTCATGTTGTTGTTCTTGAAGAGGTTGTGGTATTATTGAGGTTTTTTTATGGTTTTCATTTAGTGTGACACATAATCTTCTGTTATTAAAGAAAGGGGAGGAAGGATGTGAGAAAGAGAGAAAAATGTTGGATTGTTGAGTCATCTTGCTGTTTTTTTTTATTGCCAAACAAAATTGCTTGTATTACACTGTCTTTATGTATGTTGAGGAGGCTAAAGATTGAGCATTTGAGCAATTCAGCTTGAGTACATGCTTCCATTTTTATTTAAACTCGAAATCCAATGTTTGATTTGCTGTGTTTCCAAGTGAAATGCAAGCTTCTATGTCTTAATAGACCAATAGAAGCTCTATTTAATTATTCACTGGATCCTTGCCATTTACTTGTCTGGGTTTGTCCTAAATTACAATTTTGCAATTTGCAGGTTCAGTATATAAGGATTGAGCTGAGAGTGCCTGAGCATGGATGGACTTTGCAGAAGTTTTTTAATCTTATGATTTTCATTGTGATTGGAGGCGATTAGCTGGATTATTTATTTTCTATAGTCCAGATAATGTTAATATCTGTTTTGACAATGAGCTCTATGTTTTCAGTTCAGGCAATCATATTCGGGTTCCTCAATCCTCAAGCAAGTATTCAGATTAAATTCCAGGGTATGTTCTCTTCCATGGCTTAGATTGTCCTTTCTTTCGCTGGTGCTTTCATTTTGTGAGAAATTGTGGTTCACACCCTTTACTCTTTGATTTGCAACTAATCATGGATTTAAAAACCATAATAGCTAGGAAACCACATACCACACACAGTAACTTGACAGCAATGAAAGCCTTTTATCATTTTAATTACCATGTACTCGTCCTTGTGATATATATGATCTCCCAGTCACTGCCATGCAGATAGAATTGTAATGATTATTGTGAGATAGAGATGTTTAAAGGAAACCCAATTGTGCCCAATTTAGATGATTTGCAGGTTTTTTGGTAGTCAGAAACCTGAATGTGATGCGCAGGAGAAGGTGGTGTTATCACTACTTAGCTATGACCTTATCATAGTGATTATTGTTAACACTTTGTAAATTTGTACCAAAAATCTATATGATGGATTCTCGTAAAGTGGAATATGTATAATTGGTGTTGCCTCTCAACCTGTCAAAGACTGTCTGCAAATATTGAGCCTTGGAATTTGTAATTGAAATGCTGGTAGCTGCCTTTTTTTTTTTTTTTTTTTTTGAGGAAATTCTGGTAGCTGCATTTAAACTAACTAATTTAGGTCCTGCAGGCATGATTATAAGATCTTGATGTATCAAAGCTAATGCAGAAATTTGTTTCATGTATTTCTAAGCATGAATGCAGGGATCTGAGGATGAACTCATAGATGCTGTGGCATTTGTCCGTCCGGTGAGTGTGGCATTTGAGGTTGTTGATGGATTCAGATTCTAAAAGAAGAGAGTTTACTCAAGCACAACTTGTGGCAGCATACCTATGGTAAGTTTCCAGATTGATGCATAACTACACATCCCTGCAATCATTTAAGAGATGAACAAATTTTTTACTTCGTATTGCTCATGAATGAACATGTTTGGTCCTTTCAACATATTTGTTTTTCTTTATATCTTCTAGTTTGTTTTTTTAAGAGGAGGGGTGACAGATAAGTTAGGTGCTACATTCTCAATTTATCACCAGCTGACAGCCCGTCGTTAGTTGTTAAAACTTTTATATATGGTTCTGTTTTGGATGTATTGCAAAAATGGAAAAAAAGGAACTAATAAACTTTTTTGGATTGATACTTAATAGTAGGGAAATTATCAGTAACAAAAGCAAGAAGGAAGGAAAATATGATATAGAAGGCTAATCAATGTATTACTTAAAACACTACTTTGAGATGTGAATATGTTTGATTTTACATTCACATATTCCCATGATGTCTCACTGACTCACTCGCTGTTCTTTTCTTGTTTGCTTTGCAGCTTTGGCAGGATGTGAACCATGCTGTTCTTGCTGTTGGATATGGGGTCGAAGATGGAGTACCGTACTGGCTTATTAACAATTCTTGGGAGCTGATTGGGGTGATGATGGGTACTTCAAGATGAAGATGGGCAAAAACATGTGTGGTAAGTTCAATAGTTTTTAACTACTCATTCAGTCAAATATTTTTAGCAAATTTACTTGCATTCGTCAGGTTTTTTTAAAGGGGAGAAAAACCATTTTTCTAATGGTGAAAAATTGTTATTTGAAAAACATGGAATACCATGATTTTCCATCGCCTTTTCATTTTCCTCTTTACTTCTGGGTATCGGACATGAGGAAATCACTCCAAAATTTTTATTCAACTAAACTAGTTGACATATGAGGTAAATATAGACTCCTAACCTTGTTCAATCTACTTAGTGCTTCTACAATAACATGAAAGGTAATTTGCATTATCAGCCAGTTTATATACTCCATATTTAAGCATTAGGATTAGGTACACTAGCTCTAACAAGTATTGTGTTCTGCAAGTAATATAGCAATTTCTTCCAGTCAGTCAGTAGATTATGACTTGTTCGTGTTACCTTTCATTGCAGCTAACTTGGCGTTGTATTCCTGGAGTTCTCTTTTATATCTTTCCTTATCCCTTTCCCCTATATTCTGATATACCTGCACTTGAACAAATATCAAAGCAACTTTCGTAAATCATCACAATCTTCTATATTAAGACTTAAGAGCCATATGATAAGGCCATATGCTTCAATAATCGACTAACCTTTCTTTCTTCAGAGTTAAGATTGTTCCATGATTCTCCTATCATTTTAGTAAACTCCCTCTCTCGACTATTAGGATAAAGGGATTTGAGGACTGAATGCTTCTCCGAAAAGTAGAAATTGTAGCCACTTCTGTTGGGTTTTGGGTGGCTGGGATCTCCACCCCATCGCTTCCTCTTACGCCTTCTCTTTCCTGGTACCTGGCGAGGTTGCTTATTGGGATCGTAAGGGATGATTGCCATGCTAAGATCATCAGCTGGAGAGGATGAAGGGCATTGCTTATCTACAGGATGGTAAATCACTCCACTCAGCAGTTCCTGTCCTAGTCTGACAGAGACTAAATACCCGCAGTCGAATTTCCCATGAATTGTTCCTACTGCTGGAATGCTCAAGGGACTAGAATCTGGAAAATACAAGAAACTTTTTACTACTAGCAGGACAATAGGAGAATGACAGTATTCTGTCGATATGTACTTCATTCTTTTTACCTTGATTTAATTTTTATTATCAGTACTTATTAGACCTTACCAAAACTTATTGACCCTTACCTAAACTCGGTTTAGTTGTACAAAGTTAATTTTCACAGCATGTACTAAGGAAATAGTGACAAAGATAAATATCTCTATCAAGTGGACTTTGAACTCTTTTGGGTGTAACTTTCTTATGATTATCACTAGTAATAGGACCAAATGGGCATGGATCTGCAGAGATAGGAGTCAAATTTTACAAGCTAATCCAATAATTGCTCTCTTTGTCCTCATACAATAGTTGGATTATTTTAATATTTAATTTATTAAGGATATGACATGATTTTATCAGAAGATCATTTGACATACTTCATATTGGAATAAAGTTTATCATAATCTATTATTGTTTAAGGAAGCACCTTTCGAGGATTTCCTAAAACAATATATGCGACTATAAATTCCGAACAATAAGAGTAAACAGTTTAAGGTGTATACAACGCTAAGTTGAAACAATTAGGCGCGGTACCTGGTGGAGTTGAGGATACAGGGCTTTGTACATTAAAGAAGTAAAGTTGCTCATACTGGTAAAGAAGGCCAAGGTAATGCTTTTTTAGCACAGATGAAGCACTTGTGGCAGTGACAGAAAACTTGAAAACTGAACTTATTTCCCTCCATTTCTTCTCTGAAACAACCTATAATTACACAAAATTCTGTAACATTAAATTTTAATTAGTAAAATAAAAAAGTAAAAGAAAAAAAATGGGGTTAAACATGTATTATCAACCTTAATATAGCCACCTCTCTTAGTAACTTCAACATATAACACATGCAAATCTAGCTCCCTTCTTCCAATTACTGGTACCCTTTTGGTAGATAACACAATAAATAAAAAAATTAAAAAAATAAAAAAAAAAAAAAAACATTACAACTTATAATTTTCGTGATAAATCAATTATGTAAAAGTAATTTAAAAATTTAGATAACACAATAAAAAAAAATATATTATAACCTTATAATTTTCGTGATAAATCAATTATTAAACGAGTAAAAATAAAATAAAAATTTAGATAACACAATTAAAAAATATTATAACCTTATAATTTTCGTGATAAATCAATTATTAAACGAGTAAAAGTAAGATAAAAATTTAGAGTTACGTAAATTAGATTCTAGAATCGATAATATGATATATTATAGATATTTTAGATGGCGTACGTGAATTTGGTGCCCAACATAGAATGGAGACTTTTGAGTGTATCAAAGAAGAGCTGAGGTTGGCTGATAACTTCTTCATGAGTAGCAAGTGGAGAAGGGTAGTTGTAATTCTCTTTTTCCGACGCTTGTATCATTGGTTTTCACCGGAAAATAATTATTGAATTATTTAATTTATGGTAATAGTTGGACTTTTGAGTGTACGAAGTAGTGTAAATGAACAAGGTGGTTACTTGGTTTCTAGATAAGATAGTGATTAAGACAATGAGGAAATTTTCTGACCCCAAATATAATTTAAGGAAATAAGTAGTCATAAATATAAATGGCATATGTAGTTGGTGTCAAAGGTTTACAATTACAAAAATTTGGCACTTCTTCCTCTTTAAGAGCATAGTTATCAAAAACTATTAATCCGGCTGCAATCCAATGATAGCTCAAGATATCCTTGGGTCTTACTGGCCCGTGAGGCCGTGACACTAAACAATATACATACACACATAACTCATTGGATAATATTTATCTTTACAAATTTTTGTATGCGGCTAGTCATGTGATGCGGCAGGGGTTACATATAGGGTGTTACTGGTTTTGTCAAGGGTTACTTGTAGGTGTTACTTGTATTCTGGGGTAACTTATATTCTGGGGATACTTGTATGGGTATTACTGGTTTTGGTCAGGGGATATTGTAAGGTGTTACTGGTTTTGTCAGAGATTACCTGTAGGTGTTACTTGTATTCTAGAGTTACTTGTATGGGTGTTACTGGTTTTGGTCAGGGATTACTTGTAGGTTGCTACTGGTTTGGTATGGGGTTACTTGTATGAGTTACTCAGAATACAAGTAACTCCACGATACAAGTAACCCATACAAGTAACTTCATAATACAAGTAACACCCTACAAGTAACTCATACAAGTAACACTAGAATACAAGTAACCCCTGCCGCACTATGTGGCTTGCCGCACTGAAAAACCTCTGTGAAAACCAAGGTGAGATCATGTGAGAATCAAGGTGAATAATAGAAACTGGGAACTAATCTCAGCCATTGATCACACTCCGTCTAATGGCTCACATTGCACCCGCTCTCATTAATGGCATTCTCATAATTTCACTGTTTTCAAATTTTTAAGGCAATTTCATTTACTTTAAGACTGATTTCATTTACATTTACTAAATTTTCATTTACTTTTGAGGAATGAAACCGGAAACTACGTTATAAAGTTAAAATATTACAAAAATGTCATTAATGACACGGGAAACATGTGAGTCGTCTGATTAACATGATCTAAGGGCCTAAATTAGTTCCCAGTTCTTATTTTAGCCTTGGTTCTCATTATAACTTGGTTCTATATATAACCAAGTTATAATGAGAACCAAGGCTATAATAAGAACTAGGAATTAATCTAGGGTCTTAGATCATGTTAATCGGGCGGTCGACATACATCCTGTGTCATTAATGACATTTTTGTAATAATTCAACTTTACAAAGTGATTTTCAGTTTCATTTCTAAAAAGTAAATGAAAAGTTAGTAAAAATAAATGAAATCATCAGTCATAAAGTAAATGAAATTCCCTTAAAAGTTAAAAAAAAATTGAGAAATATATAGTTTAAAAATTCGCAAAATTTACAAAAATGTCATTAATGAATACGGGTGAGATGTGAGCCGTCGGATGTAGCGTGATTAAAGGCTTAGATTGGTTCCTAATTCCTATTATTCACCTTGGTTCTCGCATGATCTCAATTCTAGTCCCATGTGATGACTCGGGGATAGCCCAAGTTCATATTAGTTATATTATAATGGATGCAAGGAAGAACAAATATTGAATGTAAAATTAACAAGAGAAATAGACAAAAATTTACGTGGTTCACCAAGAATGCAGCTACGTCCACGGGCAGACGAGATTAATGGTTTTTAATGAACTTGTGGAATACATATTACTGGTTCAGAACAACTTTAAGACTAATCTTGAAAACAGATTTATTGTCTCTAGGATTTCTAATGTTATCAGTCCTAGAATTCACAAATGAGAAATAAACACAAGACTCTCAGTTTTCTGAATAATCACTCAATTAATAATTGTTGCGGAACTCAAGAGTATTTATATTAACCTACAGACTAGAAAAGATATACTTTGTAATTTATAAGGTAATAAAGCCCAGATACGAAGTAACCAAAATCGGTCAAAACCAAATTTTATGTATATCTATCTTATAATTTTGTGCATTCTAGGTTCAACCCATTAAGCATGGAATCATTGACACAACACATAGGCTTGTGCAGCCTAGCTTGTACCTAATTCTACCGTTGAATTTGTGTCTTAATTGTGTCTTCTCAACAATTCTATGCATATCTATCTATATCTGGCCTTATATATATACAATAGCATAGACTAGATATTCTAGCTAGCACATAGGATCGTATGCAACAACATACTTCGTATATCATAATTTTATTTATGTATTACATTGGAAAAGTATAGGCTTCCAAATAATAAATGATCGATACTCATTGGTACTCTTCATGATTTTCCAGTAATTTCAAAGATAGATATACATAAACTTTATTCTAGATATTCCATATTTAAAGCTTGACTCTTTATTCCACGAAATGATCTTACTAGGTCTTGCATGCTAGTCACCTTCAGCTTCAGAACAACGTCACCCTGCAAATCATTGACACAATTATGTATTTTTACAAAATATCAATTGAATAATTATTGAAGACTAAATACGTAGTATTATTGTTACCGGACCATATCAACCGTAAAAGTTTAATCTAATGGTTAATCTCTAAGAATATGTTATATACTCTATCATAATGTATCACTTATGTTCAAGTTTTTTTTTTTACCATGAACTCAAAATCCAAGTAATTATATTGAGTGAATTTTATTTTCTAGACAAGCTAAGATCGAGTAGTATAGTAATACATACTTATTGCAATCAATATCGGGGCTGATGTTGATCTTGTAATTGACACCACACGCCTTAGGGAGCTTGTTAGCAAGGTCATAGTTGATCCCATAGGACTTAGCGGCGGGTTTGATGCACTTACAAGCTGCCTGGCGATCAGGCCTAGTCTTAGCCAAGTTAGCCAAGTTCTTAACCCCTCCACAGCAATTCGCTGGGATGGATCCACCTTTTTTCAAGTAATTGAGGCATGGCATAAGCATTGTTACCACCTGCCCACATGAAAAGGCTTGCGCGGCATGAGGTGCAACCACTATCATGGTTATGAAGATTAGGCATACCGCCTTTTTAGTCAGCATGGTTGAGCTAGCCATCATAAATTGATCGGTTGTAGATATTTAATTTGGCAAAATTTATTTTGTGTAGGGCAACTAAGGTTGCAACAACGTTTATACCGTACTAGCTAGTTTAATTTGTACGTGTTACACAAATGATTTGATGAATCCGAAAGAAGATCCTTGAGATATTTATAGATGGAATTTTATTGTGAGCAAACTCAAAGAGGAAGAGTCCCATTGATAACTCCAAACTTAAGAGTAGTATGATAACATCACATGCTCTATGTTTACTCATTAGTTACAGAACGAAATAGTATTTGTGTTTGTTTGTGTATCTTTCTTTTTTCTGTTTTTAAGGGGAGAAAATGGTTTGTTAGTGTAAAGGTAATGCTTATATTTGAGCTTTTTGTACCAACTGATAGTTATGTTTTGATTTCATACTTGGAGGTGACAAACACTCCTTTAAATCGGGTTTGATACAAATCGCGTGTTATATTATGTTCAACTATAGATCAGCAACTATGATAAATCAATTGTAATCACATAAATTTGTGGTCTGAATCATGTTAATTATAGAGTATTAATTTTGATTATTGTTAAAACCAAGTCATTCAAGTACAATTCAAGTTTAATTTGAATGATATTAATCGTATAATTTGGTATGACATGTCTCTGGTACCGGAATACTAGAGAACTTTAAACTCTAAAAGTGTTGCCAAAAAAAATAGTACATTATAAATGGAGGGAAAAGCATGGTTTGTTATGTGTAAAAATTAGTCCTGTTTTGTAAAAATAAACCTAAGTGTGTACTCCCTCTATATCCAAATAATGGTTACACATTGGATTTTGGCAACATTATTCATAAGCTCTAGTTTGGCCATCATGTGTGATTTAAAGATAAGGTAAAATATTGTTACAAAAGATCTTGTTGTATTCATCTCAAACATATGCATTTTTAAAATATCAACTATTGTATTAATAAATTTAACATATACATAATTATAGTACGTCTTAGAGATTGTATTCATCTCAAACATATGCATTTTTAAAATATCAACTACTGTATTAATAAATTTGACATATACATAATTATATTATGTCTTAGAGATGATAGTATTCATAGTTAAATAAATTGACACACATGAATGAAAAGGTGAAGTGTTAAAATTCAATTTGAAACAAAAGAGTACTCAGGTACTCTTATAGTCCTATCTTCTTAGAGATTTTTCAAATGATATACTATAATCAACTTCTTCTTTTTTGAAGGGATATACTATAATCAACTACTTTATTTATTATATTTGAAATTTTTTTTAATCATTCCTTACACCCATCACATAGTCCAAATAATCGGGGTTGTCTGACTTCGTTCCTGGTCGTGTTGTGTCGGCGGCGGCTCAGCAGAAGCGGGACAAGTATGGGGCACGTTGCAGGGCTAATGGCTATGGTTTTCTTCCTTTCTCCTTTTCTTCATTAGGGGAATTAGACAAGGATGTTATTGCGTTGCTGAAGCGGGTTCAGGCGTTCGCTAAGACTCAGGATATTGGTGCTCGTGCAGCTACTCATATCTTCAGTAGGATCGGGTTCGCTATAGCTAGAGGGGTGGGAGCCCAGATTGTATCTCGGCTCCCTACCAATTTCTTGTAAATTGATTGAATTTGTAGGTTTTTAAATTTTATAATAATAATAATACTAATAATAATAATAATAATAATAATAATAATAATAATATCAGTAACAATATTTATAAACAACTTTCTCTCACCTACCTAAAAAGTAAAAACAGAGATCCATTGCCCACATCATTTTATATGAACATTGAATGAAAAGTTGGTTCTGGCTAAGGGTGTTTCTTGGAAAGTTGGTTCGGGTTCTCAGGTCCGCATTCTTCAAGATTATTGGGTTCCTGGGGACTCAATTTCATTTCGAGGTAATTGTGAGACGCCTCTTCCGTCTCATGTTTCTTCTATCATTAATCCGCGTTCATACGCGTGGGATACTTCTCGGGTTTATCAGTTGTTTGATTCCTCAACAGCTAGCCGTATTTTGGCTTTAGAACGTCCGAGTAGACCAATGGACGATTTCGTTTACTGGAAATATTCAAAGGACGTGGTATTTTCTACTAAATCAGCCTACGCTATGTTGTTAAGAAATCCAGACTACTCTGCTGGGGTTTCAGCCTTCCCTTCTTCATAGTGGAAGGTTTTCTGGAGCCTGCCCCTCTTGCCAAAGCTGCATCTATTCTGCTGGAAGCTTCTTAATAATGCATTACCTCTCACTGGTATATTACAACAACACGGGATTCCAGTGGATACCACTTGTGTTCTTTGTCTGGGAAATCACGAATCGGTTGAACATCTTTTTAGAGATTGTCCTTTGGTTAGGGAAGTCTGGGTGACTGCTCCTCTTATTGCGTCGCTTCAAGTTCGTCGAGACATTACTTTCTCTGCTTGGTTTGTTGAGATAGTTTTGGATTTACGACGAAATAAGTCTTGGGAAACTTTGGTCAACTTAGTCTCTTTTCTTTGGGCCATTTGGATTGCTCGCAATAACAAAATCTTTCGTCGGGCTGTTATTTCTTCTAATTTTGTTTGTCATATAATGCAGGAATGGGTTTCTCGTAGTCTTGCGGCTGAGGATTTTAAGTCTGCTATTCGATCATTAGGGATGGCTTCAACTGCCCTTCGACATCATGTTTCTTCGTCATGTCTTTTACAAGGCTCATCGGATTCAAATGTTGATATATGCCTTGTGTTTGATGGTGCTTATACTCTTCATGACCATACTGCAGGGGCAGGTTGGATTTTTAGATCTTCGGATTCAGACATTGTACTTGGTGGTGGTTGTAGAGCCTTCACTTCGTCCTCGACTTTTCAGTCTGAGTTGCAGACTTGTTTGTGGGCTCTTAAGGCGGCTGATCGTCGTGGTTTTAGGCGTTTGCTTATCTACACAGATTGCTCAACTTTGTTAACTTTCCTTACAAATAAGAGATGTCAGGATATCTCTTGCTTATGGTTGCTTCAGGATATAAAGGTTATCCTTACTCGGTTTTTATTCTGCGAAGTTCGGAAAGTTCCTCGTCAGTGGGTGGCCCCAGCTCATTGGTTGGCATCTCAAGCTCGTCAGCGTCGTATGTTGTTATGGTCCTGCTAGTTTTTTCTTTCTTTCTTTTGTTTTTTTTATTTCTTAGCTCGTCTTGTCAAAAAAAAAAAAAAAAAAACATTGAATGAAAAGAAATAGAAACAATTTGCCATCATGTGTTAGCTTTGAAGCTCCCCAACCCGAACATTTTCGAACAGTAAATACCTAAATATGACACATTTATTAAATGAAGATTAGGCATCTGGATAGGTATGCCTAAATTCATGAATAGACAAATAGTACATAGCCCTATATGCACACGATGCATGTGTTAATTAGAATAATAATGCGAACTGAATAAATGTGTTGTTCCTAAGTAGTTCTAGTTTCGATTTTTGGTGCCTAGAAATTTTGTTCACCTACCTGCAACACAATGTTTATTATATATAGTTCTTTTTTATCTACACTAGTCGTTGGAGCACGCGCGTTACGCGTGCCCCCCCCCCCCCCCCCGACGGCAAGATAAGAAAAATTCGTGGATGTGTTCGGTTGTTGTGATATTCGTGGTTGTGTTCGGGTTTTGTAATAGCAAGGATGCATGAATTTATAAGTACTGAGAAGGAGTAGTGATAAAGTTTCTATGGGGAAATATCTATGGAAAAACAATTGTTATAAGTGAAGTTATCTAGAATTTGATAATTTAAAGATTCTTAAAAAAAAATATACTATTGTTTTAGACATTATTGTAGAACGCAAAATAGTTTCCTATTGAGGAGTACCTAAATATTTTTCGAATAGCTTCGTCTTAGAATGATTGTGATAATAAGGATTAGTTATAAGGAAATGCACCACTAAGGGATAAAGTTATGTAAAATGGATTAAATGTAAAATATACAAAAGTATTGTATATTTGTTTGTTAGACTATTTAAAGTAGAAAATTTTCGAGTGGTTCTTCTATTGAAAATTTTAGTAATTAGAGTTTGTAATCGATATGGAATGTATAAAATGAATGAGAAATATCATATGTTTATATATTAAATTTTATTTATTGGTTATTTATCTATAAATCATTTTATGTACGATTTCAACGATTGTAGTTCTTAGGCTCGCATGTAAACGGTAATAGCATCTTAGTGTTTGACGCATTTAGTGAAATGACATTTATTGTGTACAGTTATTATCTTTAAATATTGTACATACTAATTTATGTACTAATAATCTTTCTTTCCCCCTTCCCTTCCTCCTTTTCTTTTTCGAGATATATATAGCTATTTATGACATTCTTATCAAATAATTATGAGACATGCAAAGGCATATCTTTCTATATTCGTGGCCCTACCAAATTTGACAAATCTACACGCGTGGTCTCCCAATTTGGTGAAATAAATTGACTTACTACTCTCAAGAACTTTTTTTAGCAATTGAGCGTCTTTGGTTTATGACAATAATCACTAATTCTTGATACATGTTTATTAGGATTTAATTAATAGGTTTATAATAATTTTAAGTTTTATTAGCTTAATTAATTTTTATCTTCAAATTTGTTTTCTAATTACCATAATAGGATGTTCTTGTGTTGTTTTAGGAAAGAGAGTTAAGGGCTTTGAACAATAGATTAAGTTCAATTTTAATTTGGTGCGTTGATTAAATATGTATTTTTAATTGTGCATATGTAAACATGAAATGCATGATAATGCGTTTTCTTTCTTATATAACTACTCAATGGCTTTTAAGAGTACTAACTAATAATCTCTCTCTCTCTCTCTCTCTCTCTCTCTATATATATATATATATATCTCCCCTTTTCATTTAAATTCTTTGCAACTTTATCTCCCCATTCCCTTTTTTAAATGGATTTGAAATTATAAGTTCACTTGCTCACATTTCACTCGTTTTTCCTTTATTGATGGCCCAAACTCCTTATCTATCTATTTCTTCTGCCCTAATCCTTCTTGTCCTTGTTCCATTCTAAAAAAAGGCATTTAAAACTATAGATTATACTTTCTCGCTCTCCTTTTCCCCCAACATCTATCTTTCTTTCGCTTTCACCTAAGCCTTCTATCTCTTTCAGCTTCTATTTATCTCCCTCTTTCTTTCGGCCTCTCTCTCTCTCTCTGTCTCTCTCTCATCCTAGATCATTTTTCTCATCACTTGGCTCCTCTCCCCCATCTCTTGGTTCCTCTCTCCTAGCCCTTCTCTGTCTATCCTTCGACATGCCCTTTACTTTTAGCTCATGGGGTGCCTTTTCTCTTTCCCTTTTAAACAACTTTTTCTCTCTTTTCATAGCAGCTTTCTCTCTGAGGCCCTCTCCCCCCCCCCTCTTGTGACCTTGTCTTCTCTCTCTTTCTTAGCACCTTTATGTCTCTCTCTCTCTCTCTGCGTTGCCTTCTCTATATATCTATCCATTCTTTCTCTTTCTCCTAGACTTTTTTTCTCTCACGATCCTTCTCTTCCTCTTTTCCTGCCCTTTTCACTCTTGGCTCCCTCCCTTTTTTTTCCTCTCTCGACCTATAGCTTTCTTTTCTATCCGCCCTACTTTTTTCGATCCCTCTCCTCCTATTTATTCCTTTATATCTCTCTTCCTCTCCTCTCTCGAGTCTCTCCCACTCAATTTTGTAGTCATAAATTTGTAGCTCTATTCTTGTCAATTTTTCTCGTAAGGTTTTTCAAATTATATTGTTGTTTAGTAAATGTGAGTCGAATTCATTAAAATGGTGGTAATTAATTGGTGCAATGTTATGTATTAAGTAATAAAAACGCTTTTGATACATGTTTATTACATTTTAATTATTAAATTTATGATAATTTTAAGTTATGTTCACCTAATAATTATCCTCAAGACTGTTTCTTATTTAACATTAATAATTTGTTCTTTTATAGTTTTACAAAAGAGCTTCTATAGGTTTGAATAATAGTATGTTGACTTTGAATATAGTTAGTTAATTAAACATGTAACTCTGGTAGTACTCAAACTAAACAAATCTTCTTTGAGTTTTTTCATGTGAATTAAGTAGGTTGTAGATTCCTTAAATTTATTATTGAGGAATGAGTATACATGTGTAATTTGGAGTTAGAGAGAGAGAGAGAGAGAATTTAGTTGGGAATTACATCCTTCGTTTTTTTTTAGTTGGCACCGTTTGACTTTTACAGTATTCACCCAACACACTTTAATTCGCTTTTGTGGTTTATAAATACGATAAAAAATATTCATGTGAGATCTTGTTTGAATCATTTTAATGTATATTGTATTAATATCCACTTTTTATAATTTTGCAATGATGCTAATTTAATTAGAGATATTAATCGTAAAAACATGCGTTGGCAAACGTGGTAATAGAAAGGTGTTATAGGGAGGGAGGAAGAAACTATTGGGATTGATATCAAAAGACATTATTAGTACAAAAAAAAAAAAAAAGGTAATATTGTCAAAAGTATTGAAATAGGTTTTTAATTTTGCCTTCCCTAAAAAAGAATGCAGACTTTGTAATACTACCTCCGTTTCTTTTTAGTTGACACGTATTCCTTTTTAGGAAGTTTTTTTTTTAGTTGACACGTTTCCTTTTAGGGTAACTTTTTTACCTTGCATTTACAAGCTACCCCACTTGATTTTTCATTCTCTCTCACTCTCTCTCCTCTCCTTAATACATGTGCCTAAATAAAACGCGTCAACTAAATAGAAACGGAGGAAGTATGAGATAGAGGAAGCAGTACCTAAATTAGTGCTTAATTAAATAAGTCTCATTGTAATCAAACTGAGCCAATTTTGAATGATTCCAAAATTCATACTATTGTTAATGACTGTAGTAATTAGTTAATGATTACAAAATTGTCACTCTTATTTATAATAACTTTGTATACGGGGTATATTTCAACCCTATTGGATCTAAGAAACTTATCTTTCCTGTTTGCTCCTTGAGGCTTATTTCAAAGCTTGCAACAAATATATATCCGCCACTTTCTTTGTGTACAGGGACAGTCTCCAAAAGAACCTTTAATTTGTCCTCAACCTTTTGTTTCTGTCATCATGAAAAAGTAAGTTTAGGACCTTACCAGACATACAAAATAGAGATAGATAGATAGAGAGAGAGAGAGAGAGAGAGAGGGGGGGGGGGGTAGGGGTGGCAAACGGATCAGGTCGGGTCATATTCGTGTTCGGGTCATTTCGGGTTCGGGTTGAAACCCCCTGACCTGAACCTGATCTGTTTAGCATTTCGGGTCGAAGTTCTTGACCCTAACCTGATTTATTCGGGTTCGGGTCAACCCGAAGTTGACCTTATTCAACCTGATTTTTTTTTTTTTTTTTTTTTTTTTTTTTTTTTTTGGGTAGATTAAAGAAAAATTTATCACCAATAAAAATCTTAAAAACAAAAAGAAATCAATACAAGTTGAATCTCAACTTTAAATCTGTAAATCATAAATAAATTTAAATGTAATAAATTTACAACCAAAACTTCCAATTAAAGGGATTTGAAACTTAAATTTACAACAAAATTTTAACTTCTCAAAATCCTTCACATGCTGGTTTGCTGTTCGTTCTTTCCTGCAAACAATAACAAAAACACATTAATAAATATTCAAGTCATCAATTTAGATTATATAAAATACAAAATCAACTTTCAATAATATGTATATTCAATTCCAAAACAATTCAAACCATAAACACTACGACAAAGTAGTAGAAAGTAGATGCAATTTTCACCAATTTCATAAATAGCCATCTTAATATAAGAAATATCAAATCAAACAAGTAGATCTAGATATTAAAATACAAGCTAAGAACATCTAGATGTAAAAAAATTAATAACTAATGATGAATTCGAATATAAACAGCAAATGACTTCGAAATTAAACAAAAATTAACATGTTAAAAACGAAAAAAAAAAAAAACCTGAAAGCATGTAAATAAATTCAAGAGGAAAATTACCATGAGATGATGGAGAAGGTTAAAGGAATGATTGTCGGACTGAAGGAAAGGAGTGAAGGAGACACAAGTGAGGCAATGAGACAAGGAGAGAGGAAGAAACTGAAAAACGGCTGTTTGCCTGTTTCAGAAGGAGAATGTGAGGGTTTTAGGGTTTTTCTCTTTTATTAGGTGGATTTTTGGGCTTGGGCTTAAGAGTTATTTTTCGTTTTTTCTTGTTCGTTCTTTTTTTTTTTTTTTTTTTTTCGGGTTAGATGGGTCATTTTCGGGTTGAAAATTTCAACCTTAACCTAACCCATTTAATTATCAGGTCGGGTTCGTGTCGACCCATTTAAGTTTTCGGGTCAGAAATCTCAACCCAAACCCGCTATTTTCAGGTCGGATTCGGGTCGTGTTTTCGGGTCGGGTCAGTTTTTGCCAGCCCTAGGGGGGGGGGAGGGGAAGAGAGAACAAATATTAAGACAATAAAGTTCTTCATGATTTCATTCATCCCGTGTAGAATGAAATCAAAGAGCCAGTAACCAATCCATCTAAACTTTCAGATAATATTATGATGCTCTATATTCTAATAAGTTTGAATTACCAAAATATACCATATACAAATAGAAAAAAAGTCGTCAAACACAGATAAGTGCACATATATATATATAGGCTGAATAAAATCATCACAAAGGTATGATATAAATTCATCCAAGAAATGATGGTTGTCATAATATGCAACCAAGGTCTGCTGGCCTAGCCCTACCTAATCTGGTCAAAGTACCAAAATCAAAGACCAATGATGCTCATTTGCAAGCCCATTTAACTTGGTGATGCATGCATTAACTCAACCAAGAATAGGTTTCATGCGACTCTCAATGCCATGAAGACATTCTACTTAACCATGTTCCTCTTTTCATATCTTTGAAGCTATGAATATATACTTCTGATTAACTAAATATATCCAAAAATACTTTCCTACCTTGTATTTAAACATGACAGCATGACAGAATGAAGAATGATGCATCCATGTAATAAATGTATAATCAATTTGATTCTCTTCAAGTGCAAGCCTTGCCTTTTGGCTATCCACAGAGAAGGGGTGATGATATAACTACATTGTATCATCAATATCAACTCCAAGGATGTAATGTAGGTAGCATCTCAAAACTTATCCGGTCAATCAGGCAATAACAAACTTCCTGTTCAATAACAAACGGACAATCCACCACCCAAATAAGAAACAATACACAGCTAAAGGGTTTAATTAAGCTTAGGACTTGGAGTTCTGAATAGTTCATGAAGTCTGACATTACATTGAACATTTTAGGCTATATACAACTATACTACATTGAGTATAAGATTCAAGCAAATAATATAGGCTATATACAACTATACTACATCGAGTATAAGATACAAGCAAATGGTTTTGCCGTCACATTGAACGTTTTAGAGCTTTATCTTACTTTCACCACGACCTCGTCCATACAATAATAATAGCACAGCAATCTCAGGCAGATACTAAACATAATCCATTAATTAGAGATATTTTTTAAACCTCCCAAGTCAGCCAACCATGTTAATTGTGTGAAAAAATATAGAATGTGAGTTTCATTGGTATGTCAATTTTAATCCATGAAGATCACATTGACTGGAAAACTGGCATAATCTCCTTTTAATTAGTGAAGATCCTATACCAAATCAAATAGAAAACTTTTAGCAATATGATATTCTACTTCTATCAAACTAATTACAAAAAACTAACTTATTCACTTCTGCCAATAAAAAGGCATGCCTTTCTATAACTAAGTTCCTCCAATGATATTAGCATCAAGCTTTAAACACAAAAACACCTAGTAAAGCTGAATTAAATTCAGAATCAATATTAAATAAATAAATAAAAACCCAGAAAATCCAACTGCATAAAAACCCAGAAATGAACAAAAATTTAATCAGTCTAACATTCAAATAAAAGGAAAAATCTAAACGAAGAGATGAACATTGAACCAATTAGAACAAGAGAGAGAAAGCAAAAAGAACTATACTTGGACGTCGGATCGGGAAATAACCAAATTACCTTTCAAGTTACTTCAATGGAGAGGAAAGTTATTTTGCTTTAGTGGGGGGTTAGAGAAAGCTCTGAAGTATATAAAAAAAAAACCAAATATAAACTTCCCTGGCCATTTTTACAAGTAGATTCAACATAAGAACACAACATTAAGAAAATTTGAAACCAAATATAACAACAACAGTGCAAAATAAACCCTAACTTAAGCATTACCAAAAATTATTGACTTCTCCATCCATATGTAAATAAACACTCAAAACTCTCACTAATTCACTTACCAATCCACTAAAAACACTTCAAACTTCACAAAAAAATTGCAGAGACACCATGAAAAATACGTCTTGATTTACCTCCGAATATTAGAACATCTCCAGATTCTAATTTAATCTTATCAGCCTTTTCAGCATCTGCCTGATCACCATATAAAAATTCTGCAGAGTCACCAATGGAGAAAGACACAATAGGTATTCCTTTCCCAAGACTCTCCCGACTCTAATCCTTGTCCTGAAACAAGCAGATGAATGTATCAATCAAGGCAATGAGGTCCTAGAGCTTCACTTTGCTTGACATTATAGACTATAGAATCGTATAATTGTAGAACAAAAAAGCCAAGTTAATTTCCAGATAGGCAACTTACTCTTAACCTATTAAGGTGTTAGTTCCTTAACTTATTAAGCTGACAGACACTTTGGCCCTGTAGTATAGAGGCTATAGAGCATAAAGCAAGTCAGCAAACACCAGTTTCCTAATTTTATTCTACCTTTTGGGAGATTAGGTGGTCATTACTTATTAGAGACTATGAGTAAAGAAGTTGGAGTTTTTTTTTTACCAAACTTCAAAAGATGTTCTTTATTGTGTGATACAATGCCCATTAACTTCAATTTTGGAGATCATTTACTTGTTTCTAAGAATTAACAAGATCCCATTTGACAGCAAACGAACAAGCAAGCAAACAAAAAAGGTCATAGCAACAGTAAGACAATTTCTAATAGGTATTATAGAAGAGTTGTCCAGATGTTTCTTCAACATGAAAGTGTTAGTTGTCACACTGAAAGCTAAGCCATGTAATTTAAATACAAGAAAAATCAGATAAAACTTTCGAATTACGAGCCTGATGTAAACCAAGTTGTCCAGTTTGTGTATAATAATTTACAACTGGGAGAAGAATGTCTTCTACATTATTTGCCTCAGACTGTTTATCTATAAGAGAGTGAGAGTCATTGATGGCTCTTTCAACTAACATTAGAAATTCATGTGGAAGTGACGGTGGTTTTGCTTGATCAATTGGCCGATTTTTTACATATTTGCTGGCATCAGGATCCCAAAACTGACCAAAACACATCATGCTCAAATGCAACTTCCCTCCCTCTCGAAAACAAGGCTCATAGAAACCTACAGGGCCCATTCCATGGTCACGACATTTCTTTAAAATGTTTGCCTACACGATACAGGATTTACCCATGTTAATATATTTAATTCCTTGTATTAAGTTAAAGTTTAAAAATGATGCGGAGCAAATTCTGCATCAGAAGTTCCTCTCCTCCTCCATAAGAAAGGAATATTAAGTAGTGTGTTTGTAACACAACAAAAAGAAGTAAATTGACCTCATTTTAAATTAGAAGAGTAACAATTTATTATTTTTTGATGACAAGGAAGAGTAAAATTTTAACCTAAGGAATAGTGACAATTTTATTAAAGCCAATGGTACAATACTACTCTACTGATCATTTAAACGGTTCTGATCTTATTGGCCACCATTAGGCTTGTCACATAAACATGATTTTACATTCTTATAAATGATCAGGTTAGCAGCATTAGGTGGCATGATATATTTACCTTCCAATGAAAAACAGAATTTCCAAATTTCAAAATATGGAGTGTTTCATCTCATCTAATGTGACAACAAAAACAAAGGAAGCTAAAAAAAATAGTGGCACCTGTTCGGAGGTTGAAAAGTAGCCCTTTAGTAGAACCATTCCAGATCTCAATCAATCAAATTAAAATTCCATCAATTCCACAAAACAGAAACAAACATCAACAACAACACACAAATCACAACACAGATAAGAAAATCATTACAGATGTCCTAACATAAGAAATAGCTTTAGAATGCTTAAACCACCCCAAATATTTGAACTAATTAAATTAATTCGGAAAAGCTCCAATTTTAAAATGACCATAATTGAATCGAGAAAACCCCTAAATTTATGAACGGAACTAAAATATGGAAAAGCCTGAAATTTCATCAGATTGAATTGAAAAGTTCCCAATGTACAGACGAACTAAATAGAGGAAACCATGAGAATGAACAATGAAGAGATACCTTTGTAGCTAGTTGCTATGTAAGAGCCATTTGATATCAAATTCAATCGAAAACTGCAGTAAAGCCCACAAATGAACCACCACATAAACTACATTAGTTTCGTCTTGCATTTTTATAAGGGTTATAGATTGAATCAAAACCACCCCATAATTCTGAAATAATTTTTCACCCTCCATTTCTGCATATATAGAAATTAAAGCACCGCTCATAATCAAGGTACAAGAAATACAACGAAAAAAAGGGAAATGAACACAACCTTAAAGGAAGAAACAATGAAGCCCACCCAATCTTCATCAAACAATTACTCATACATCACTCATACAAAAGAACACAAAATAAATAAATTTCAAACCGAATTTAACAATAATGGTACAATCGTTCAAATGTACCACTTCATATTTGACAAAAAAAAAGTAGCCTAACATCAACTGAGCTTGTTTCTCAATCAATCAAATTAAAATTCCATCAATTCCACAAAACACAAACAAACATCAACAATAACACACAAATCACAGCACAGATCATAAATAAATCATTACATTCTAGAAATTAAAAACAAATCGACCATGCAATAATGTCTGAGTGTCTTCACCTCAAACTCGAATCCACCAAACCTTGCTCCGTCTTACTCCTTCCGCCTATTTTAGAAAAAAAAACAGAGAAACTGGAGGATGAGAAAAAAAAAAAAAAAAAAAGACATTCATATTAAAGGTTAGATGAAAATTGAACCAATTTGAACAAGAAAGAGAAAGGGGAGATAGAATTGTACCTGGAGATCAACAATTCTGTTACAAATCAGACAATAATGCTACTAACAATATAAAAAATCAACCCAAAAAACATAAATCAATCAAATTCAACCCAAAAAAAAACCACCACACAATCGAAGAAGCACTAAAATTCAACCCAAAAAATGAAAATAAATAGAACAAATAAACCCTTAAAATATCGAAAAACAATAGAATAAATAAACCCAAAAAATCGAAAACAAATCGATCAAATAAACTCCTATTAAAAAAGAAACGATTTCGCACAAATACACCCACAAAGATTCAACCAAAAACATTCGAAAACAACAGGAACATATTAATCTGCAGTTTGGTAATAAGAGTTTTGGAATGAGGGTCCCAAACCTGAATTAAAGTTTTTCATACCAAAACAATTAAAATAAAAAGGTTGTTTAATTTTATACACACAATACTTGGGATTGTATGTTAAATTATTTGTTACTGGTATTATCGGCAGTTCTAGCTATATATTGATATATGGTTCATCACAAATGCTTCATAATTTTAAACATTTAATTTAACATTAATATGATAATCTATTAATTGTTATAATTATATACTTTGAATTCTAACATAATTATCGGCAATGACGAAATACCCATGTAATTGATTTCCATTGTTTGTATTGATTCTGAACAAAGTTTGGGTCTTAAAATTTGATTGTGGAGGAGGAAGGGGAGAGAGAAAGTACCTGCTCGGAGGAGGTCTATGTTGTATGGAAAGGAGCCGCAAATGGCAGCGACATTGATTATTGGTTTCGCTGCTGCGTCCGCCTCCATTCTTATAAGAGGAAAAATCTAATCGAATAGATGAACAAAAGAAATAAACAAAAATTAAATCATAAATTCTTTTGTTTTGTACCTCAGAAACTGCTCCAATGGAGGAGATAAAGAATGGGAGCGCCGAGAGGAGAAGGAAGAAGCCTTAAGAGTTAAGAGAGAGAAGACAGATGGCGACAGCCAGGCCACCAAAGAAACAAAACAATAAAGGGCAAAATCGGCAATTCAATGAATTCAAGGACATCTCTGTAATAGCACCAGCGGGTACTATTCATAAGCTACAGTTAAAACTTTTGCATTTTTATAAGGTTTAAGGATAGCATATTAAATGAGGCTTATTCTTTCTATGGAATTATTGATAAATATATTGAACGAGATTAATATCTTCTCATATAACATAACTATACGACACAAATCGAACATGAAAAAAGTAGTTAGTGTCAAGAATTATTTGTACCCGTTTAATTTCAAACACGAAGTCAAAGGTCACGAATACTAACATGACACGATACGATTGCCATCTATTGGCACTTGCGCCGGTCCAAGATCCAGCCCATCTCTGTTGTGAGTGTCCAAACCTTGGACATTCTATGGGTCATTATTTCATCAATTTTCCTCGCTCATTTTTTTTTTTTCGCCTTCCCACTTGTACGTTGTTCTATTTCTCTCCTCCCTTGAAGCGTACTCTGAGGTCTCCATTGAAGCGGCTTTGCAGCTTTCTTTCCTCCATTGAAACAGCTTCTTAGGTAAGATTAATTTATTGTTTCAATCATTGAATATCAGCTTTATATTCTAGGGTTTAGGTTTATGGTATTGTCAATTTATTTTTTTAGTAGGGTTCTTCTAATGTAGATTAATTGAACTATTGAATAGAATTACTGAACTTATGAAAACTAGAGATTTTGCTGCTGCAATTTTTTATGTCCAATTTACGTTGATATGCCTTAAAATTATGTGATTTTTCGAGCCTAATTTGACGATTGAATCAAATTTGGTTACTGATGTACTGGAGAACCCTTAAATGTTAGGATGGAATTATAAAAATGGACCGTTTCTTTCTGGGCCGCCTTCCCTGGCTCAGGGACAGGCCTGGTAAGATGTTGGCAGATTTCCATATAATTTCATGAAGGATGTGGGGTTTTTTGTCAATCCAAATTTGGGAAGCGATTTGATTGTTGAATAATTTCAGATATTTTGTCAAACATTGGTTTTGTAAAATCCGCGCCGTACCCATTTTGTGAATTTGATTTTGCTGTTATATGGCTGTTTCAGTCCCTGTATCTGCTACATTGCTGCTGAGAAGGTGGGTTTTGGATCTTTAGCTCGTAGTTGAACCTTGTTTTGTTCTTGGACTGATGTTGGTCATACAATCCCTCAAGTTGATGTAGTAAGGCAAAACCCCAAAACCCAAACTGTGTACTTTTTCCAAGTGCAAGCTAGTGGGTTCTCAGCCGGACTTGTATGTAGAAGGAATGCTTTTACTAATTTTACTGTAGATATTGATGTGTGGAAGAGATTTAAGTTACATCTATAATGGTGAAGTAGCAGAATTGGTGTCCTAGCAAAATCCAACAGCTATGGCTGACTAGCCATAGCAGGTTGGTGTATTTAGAATTGTTGATTTGCTCGTTTTAGAGGAAAAGAGAGAGAGAGAGAAATGGAGAGGGGGGATGGGGGCGTTGTTGGATACCTTCTTAGCAAGAATGAGTTGAGTGTTCGAAAGAGCTATAACTTCCATTTGTGTTGAGATGATTGATGGATTGCTGGTAGTTGGGAAGGGGGTCAAGGATTTAGAAAGGGAAAGATAAGCAGTCATAGGTTGTGACTTGTGACTTTGTGAGATGTAAATGATAAAAATTAAGGTAGTATATGGACAATGGATTTACATAATATTGAACCTTAAATGAAAGTTTGTAATGTCAGAGAAACCAAAGGCATCTGATTCATCAGTCCTGTCAAATGTGTTATGTTGTCAGGCAATTATACAAAACTTCTGATAGAGTAGCTAGGAATTTTTCCGAGTTATCAAGTATATCAATCATGGTTTACTGAAGGAGAGCTGCATGAATTTAAGCTGCAGTTTCGTACTCCTTACTTTTTAAAGTTTTATGTTTGCTGAAACAGCTGTTCATGTTGCTGTATATTTTTGTGACAGGAAGAAGAAATGGCATTGAATCATGCAAGGTCATTGAAAATTGCCATGAATTCAATGGAGCCAATGCGGATGATTGGTTCGAGAACATATGCTGCTGGGAAAGCAAAAAAAGGGTCTAAAGGAGGTGGAGCTTCTGATGCTCCTAAGGTATCATCTCTCAGCAAAGAAATTAAGGCTACCACTGTAGTGGGAGCTAACATACTGAAGGAGGGCACAGATCCTAAGCTACGACCAGACTCTGAGTACCCAGATTGGCTTTGGCACCTTCTTGACAAGCGACCAGCCTTGAGTGAGCTGCAACGGAAAGAAGCTGAAGATCTCCCTATTGAAGATCTTAAGCGCTATGTTAAGCTGGACAACCGAGCAAGAATCAAGGAAAACAATTCAGTCAGGGCTAAGAACTAGTTGAGCAAACCTTTTTTGCATAACATCATCTTTGGAAAGTTGGAGGCAGCAGCACACATGCCGGCTTGATTTCATAAGTGCAAAGTGAAGCTACTTAGAACAATATAGTTACCTGCCTTTGTTTCCAGTTGCAACTAAACATGGGTATGTTATTCCCTTGCTGTATCCAATTTTTTATAATCTATTTGTATTGGTGCAATTCAAATTTTGATAGTTTCCAATGCTGTGGGATACTAGCTCTTCCCCTTTATATATGGGTTGGACCGTAGTAGTATACTGGTTCCTTGTTGAGACTAGTACAATCATGGAGATAAATTCCTAGAGTTTTCTGTTACTGAGATATCTGCACTATCATCTGAGTTGTCTAAATCCCAATTTCAAATCCTCTGTCTGAAGATAAAGTCCATTTGGCTACTGAGAACTTGATGTTTGTGTATTGCTTGGCTAGATTTTTTAGTTTAATTATGAGCACTCTATAGTAGAGATGTACCTGGAACTAAGTGAATTATGAATGTAGCGACATTGTACAAATCTGGGAACTAGTTTACTCAGTCAGCCAACTAGCATCATCTTAAATGGTAAATATTGCATAAATTCCTTGCCAACACCCCCCTCACAAAATATAATAAAAATTAAAAAATTGCAAAAATTAATGTGAATAATATATAGATCTGAGAACTGGTATACTCAGCCAATGCTCTAATTCAATGACCTATAGCTAGAGATTGCATTCACTGAAGTACTGAACCACCAGCATACATTGATTTTAGCCTTCAGTTTGCGTGCATATGACACACTAACACGAGTACTGCTGGCCAGTAGCTTAAGCTTAGCTAGTGTGGATTAGGAGTGATCCATATGGGTGACCCCCAATATAAAGGCAAGCTTTCATCGTCTGGAAAACAGGGCAACGAACAAATGCATTTCTCCTCCAAATCAAACACCCCAACATCATTACTATTACAATGATCATCGGTGAAGTAAACACAATTTGCCTTACAACCAGGAAAATCTGACGCTGACAATGCCAAGGAGGCACTCTCACCTACAAACACCACCCCATCTCCCAAACTCCTCACCGGCTCCCAACACACACACCCAGGTTCAAACTCACAAAACCGATACACCTCAAACCCTACAGTCCGGTACAGTTCACAATATGTCCTGATGTCAACTTCTGTTTCCAAACATCGGGTTAACAGCATTAGCTCCCCATTAAACAACACCAAATACCGCAGATCACATGGTATCAGACTCACAGATTGCCAAATGGTTATATCACAAACCCCTTCAACACCAACTCGGAAACTCCCAACATCCCCTACATGATTAACAGCATAAAACAACCCTTTAGATTCATTGTAAATCACATCCTCAGCAGTAAAATTTGAAACCGGAACCCACATCCAGTGATCCTCAGAGGTGTTACAGAAAACCAATTCAGTTGTTTTATACAAAAAAGAAGTGGTAATACCGAAGGCAAATGATGGAGACCCATTTGAAGGAGGAGAAGAAAGAACAAGTTTCCGAATGAAATCATCCCTCATTTGCTTCAACTCAAGAGGGTAAATCTGACCAGTTAACTGATCTTGAATCAAGTATTCTCTACCAACATTTGAAAACCTGAAGGAGACAACACCAGGAAGAGCCGAAAGAGGTGGTAGGAAAACTTTAGATTTGCTAAGAGGATTAAGGCAGAACACTTCAGGGGTGCCAGTGGTGAGTATAAGATTTCCATGGCAAGAACCAAGGATTCGACGAGGGTAGGATGACTCAGGAAGAGATAACGTATGTAGCTTATTAGTAAGGAAGTTGTAGAAGGTATGACGAGGGTCAGTATCAGTGACAGTTAAGTTAGTATAAGGGGTGATAGACGTAGTAGGCGGCGGAAGAAGCAGCCATGGGAGTTGACACGGGAGAGTTTGAGGTGGGGCTATAGGAAGAGATACTCTCCAGTTGGAACAAACCGCTCAAAGGCGGATGTAATCGGAGTAGATTGTGACAGTTTGCGCGATTTTAAGGAGGATATCATCAGGGATTTCAGACCAATCTACTTGAATTTCTGTGTTTGCCATATGAATTTATTTGTTGGGTGTATGAGTTTTGAGAGATTATTTGGAGTTGATGATGGTAATGCATGATGATTAAAGACGTTATATTCGTGGACTTGTTAACTTCTTACAAATTCAAAGACGTTGTGTTCGTGGAATTATTCATTAAAAATAAATAAATAAAAAGAATTTGTGGACTTGGATTAACCACTCTTTTGTTTTTCCAAATAAATGAATGGTTTGTGAATGCCGACACCAACCCAAAAAAATTGATCCATAGCTAGCAAATTTAAAACTTGTCCCACCCTCCATTAGGATTATATATTTAGGGTGTTGATGTTGTCAGGACTAAAAGAATTAAAATTTGTCAAACTTTAATTTAATAAAATATTTTCACCTTCCCGTCAAAAAAAATAAAAATAAAAATAAATAAATAAATAAATAAACCAACACCGTCCTTACCACCCTACTATCCATTATCCAATGCCACAATAACAGTGCATAAATCAATAATAATAGAATAAAATCAACAATAACAATATAATCACAAACATTAAATAGTTTTTTTTTTTTTTTTTTTTTTTTAATAAAATGATAATATTTAAATTAGACACATGAAATATTCCAGAAAACATAAAGCATATAAACCTAGATTCACATTTATGAAAGAACTTTTTAACAATTTGAGTAAAGTAAAAATACCTAAAATTTAATAAAAATGTATATCAAATATGCTACAACCATAAACAAACCAACAATTACAGCATACAAACTAATAATAACCGAAATTAAAATAAATAAATAAAATAAAATTAATATAACCGTTTACAAAGAGGGCGTCCCCATTGATCTTGTACATAAACAATTTTTGTTTATCTATAGGGAAAACGCTACTTCAAAGAACGGTTCTACTCTCATTTTTTTTTACGGGACGGTTCTACTCTCTTTCAATCAAAAAAAAAAAAATAGCGATTCTGCTCATAAACGGTAAAAAAAAATCCATAAAAATATCACGTGTTTATAATATTACCACAATATCACTAAATAAACAATTTTTGTTTATCATGATGATCACCTTGAAGGTTTTCATATATGAATTTTTTATGTTAGAGGCGGATGTACCAAACTTATTGGTACATCCAACCTTTCAAAAAAATTAATAATAAAGTGGAACGAACATATAGTTGTTTTACAAAGAACATATAGCTTTATATGTTCATTTTGTATAGCTCTTAATATGTTTTTAAGTTATTTTGTATATCTTTTGTTATATTTTTCATGTTCTTTTGTTTTATCCATTATGTACTTTTTCTAAGTTTTTGTTTATCTTGTATGTGTTTTATTTCTGTCGTTCTTTACAATCAGCCTTATGTTCTTTGAATTTAACTATTATGGTCTTTGATTTATTGAACTATCATAATAGATGGTTTAACATAATTAATTCTTAAATTAGATTTTAACGTCATTTTTAATACGAAAAAAATTAGAAAATAACACTATAATTTTACAAAAAAAAAACTGAATTATAACACCACATAATCTCAAATTTTTATAATAACACCACAAAAGAAATCAAAAAAATTAATTTCACCACTATCTAACGGATTTTTTGGATGATGGGCTCCGTATAAACACGTGTCACTGATTGATTTGTTTTTTTAAAAAAAAAATAAAATAAAATAAAAATGTGGGAGCTCCCTTTACTCCTTTAGTGCTTTAACTGATAAAAATGTTTCACCTAATTTTTTAGTGAACTGTTAAACATCGCCCGCAAATTCCTACATAAAGCCCACAAAATAAGAGTGAAATGACACTTTTGCCCTCAAACTAAAAAACACAATTTCTCTCTCTACTCTCTACTTCCACTTTCTCTCTCTAAATTATTTCCAGAGCTATGTCGAGGCGGCCCGGCAAGGAAGTGGCGGCACCGGCGGTGGGCGGAAGGCGGTTTGCCGGCCAGAAGGTAATTTTTTAAATTTTTGTAATTTTTTTTAAAAAAAAAAAACCTCCGGCGACGGTGGGGCGCCAAGGCGAGACGCCACCACCACGGAGGAAGCGCCTAGGCAAGACGCCCATACGGTGGTGGCGGCGCCTAGCCCAGACGCCACTACCACGGCGGCGGCGCATAGGCTAGGCGCCACGGCCGTGGTAGTGGCGTCTGGGCTAGGCGCCGCCACCACCGTACGGGCGTCTTGCCTAGGCGCCTCCTTCTCTTTTTTTTTTTAAATTTTTTTTTTGTTTTTTTTTAATTTTAAATTTTTTTTTCGAATTTTTTTTTTTTTTTTTTAAAAAAATTTGTTTTTTTTTTTTTTAAATTGTATGTTCCCTTTTTTTTTATCTATTTTTTTTTTAAATTTTGTTTTTTTATTTGTTTTAATTTTATGTTCTATTTTTTTTTTTAAAAAAAAATTGTTTCTGGTTTTAATTTTTAATTTTATGTTCCTATGTATTTTTTTTTTTTTTTGAATTATATTTTTGTATGTAAAAAAATTATAAGTTCCCTTTTTTTTTTATAAATTTTCTTTAAAATTTTGATGTTCTTCTTTTTTTAAGTTTTTGCAATTTTAAATTTTTTAAGTTTTGTTAGTTTTTTGTTTTTGGTTTTTTCTTTGCATTTTTGATTTTTTGTTTTTGTTTATGTTTTTCATTTTTTAGTTTGTTGTTTATATTTTTTGTTTTTGGTTATATATTTTGTTTTTGGTATATTGTTTTGTTCATATTTATATTTTTTTATGTTTATATTTATATTTTTTATGTTTTTATTTATATTGTGTTGTTTATATTTTTATTTTTTATGTTTATAATTTTATTTCCGTTACTTGTTTATTTGCTTTTGTGTTTATTTTCGTCCTTTTTTGTATTTATATTTTTTGTTTTTGGTAATATTTTTTGTTTTTGTTTTTGTTTATGTTTGTTTTTTTTTGTTTGTAGTTTATATTTTTTGTTTTTGGTATATGTTTATGTTTATATTTCTTATGTTTATATGTATATTGTCTTGTATATATTTATATTTTTTATGTTTATAATTTTATTTCCGTGACTTGTTTATTTGCTTTTGTGTTTATTTTCGACTTTTTTTAATTTGTTTTCGTTATTATGTTTCGTTATTTACTTGGAGTTAGGCATCGCAATTTGGACCTGGTGCGGGGAAGAGTATTGACGTCGTGAGGAGTACGATCTACTCAATGGAGAGCTCGGGGCCCAGACACGTTAGATCCCGTGGTATTTCGGCCTCGGCCCGCAGAGAACGGGTGCACTGTTCTGCGGACGATCAAGATGATGATGATGATGATGAGGAGGAGGAGGAGGAGGTCAAGGAGGAGGAGGTCGAGGACGAGGATGATGCAGATGAGGATGTCGACGATCAGAG